CATTTCTAGTCCCCCTCCCCTCCCTGAAGAATAGGAGGTGAGGCTAAAAATTTCAAGTTTTCCCTTTAGGGCCCTCCCCCATCTATCCAGCAGGGGATGGCTAAACCTCATGCAAAAAGCCACAGAACTTCTTGGCTCAAGACATCAGTGGATAAATTTCAGAATGGAGCATCTGGAAATTGAGGGGGGAGTATCCCAGAAAGAAGGTATCCACAGAGAGGGGAATCCCCTAAATCTGCCTATAAAATCCCTACAAATCCTTGGATAACTCTTTACTGCAACCCACTGGGTGAGACTCCAAGGAGCCCAGTGGAAAGCAACAGCTGAAGGGGAGATATTTCAGCTGCTGTCAACTGCAAGGGAGATGGAATTTGTAGTTTAATTTCAACAGACTTAAAGGGGCTTGGTGAATCCCTTTGGACCGTCCACTGAAATCCCATAGGGGCTAGGACTAAGGAATACACCCTAATAAAAATGGTGAAACTTAGACTTGCCGTAATAGATTATGGGTTAATCTAGGGTTAATCTAGTTCTGGGTTAAACCAGAACTCCACAAGCTTGAAATCAAGTCCAAGCTATTAATTTGACAGCTTGCTCATATAAAAATCAATATTCCTCAGGGGAAGAGAAAAAAATACAGAATCTGTACAATGTGTCATCTCCAGTGTCCATTATACACATTTTAAAAATCCTAGACATGCAAAAAAAAAGGAAAACATAACATCATTAGAAAAACTAGACAATGACAGTGTATAACCACACCACCCAAATGTGGGGCCAGAAAAACCTTTAAGCATTTATTTTAAATATCTATAAAAAAACTTTAAGCAAAAGACAGTAATAATGAATAAATAGAGAATCTTAGAGAAAGGAAAATTACATTTAAAATAAAATTCTGAAACTGAAAAGAAAACAATTAAATGAGTTTGTTTATTAACAGTAAGTCAAGGTTGTCAGAAGAGTTAGTGAAATTAAAGAAACACCAAGAGACATCTCAGTCAAAAGATTGAGAATAAAGATTGAAAAAAAAATAACATATTAAAGCATCAAAGTGATGATACTAATTGGAGTTTAAAATGAGAGGAGAGGGAAAACAGGCAGAAAAATGGCAAGAAATAATGGCAAAAAATCCCTGAATTTGGTAAAGACAAAAATGTATGTATATTCAAAAATCTCAAAAAAATAAATAAATAAAATAAAATAAATCTCAAGGCACCACAATGAGTTATATATAAAGACAACCATTCCTAGGTACAGTCACAGTCACGCTCCTGAAAACGAATATGAAATCTGAATAGCAAAGATGAACAGTACATGCCGTGCTGGAGTTATCTTTAATAACTTAATAATAGTTGTCTTTCACTTCTCACCAGAAACTATCAAGGTCAGAAGACAGTGGGGGCAAATCTTCAAACTGCTGAAAGCAAAGATTAATACAGAATTCTACATCCAATAGTATCAAGGAAGATGAAATACAGCTACTCTCAAATAAAAGAATTCATCTAAGAGAATTCATCACCAGCAGATGTGCACCACAATAAATGCTGAAGGAAATTCTTCAGGCTAAAGGGAAATGATATCAGGGAAAATCTTAGACTTTCAAGAATGAATGAAGAAGATCAGAAATGGTAAATATCTGGGTAAATATGAAAGACTTTTATTTCTGCTTTCTTTAAAATGCAGGACAGTTTAAAGCAAAAATTATGACATTATCTTGTGGAAATTATAATATGATGCATATAACAAATAGAGGATTGTAGTAAATGGACCTGTTTGGTTACAATGCTTCTACATTTTATGTAAAGTCATACAATATCATCACTAAGTGGACTGTGGAAATTTAAATAGTCATACTATAATACTGGAGAAACTACTAAAATATTAATATATACAGAGAGGTACAGCTGTCAATACATAAAATTAAATTCTTTAAAAAAAAAAAGTTAATATGCCCAAAGAAGTGAGGATAGGGAAAGGAAAGGAACAAATATCAGAAAGGAAAAAAACAAATACTATATCAAAATCCAGCCATATCAATTATTACGTTAAATATCTACGGAACAAATGGTTCAGTTTTAAAGGTAGAGATTGCCAAAATGAATAAAAAAGCAAGACTTAACTATGTTCTGTCTAGGAGAGATATACTTTATTTGTTTTGTTTTGTTTTGTTTTTTGAGATGTACTTTAAAAAAGATACAGATAGATCAAAAGTGAATGATAAAAGATACAACTACAAATAGTGAGCATAATATCAGAGAAAGTGAAAGTCACTCAGTCGTGTCTGACTCTTTGCGATATAGTCCATGGAATTCTCCAGGCCAGAATATTGGAGTGAATAATGAGTAGATCCCTTATCCAGCAGATCTTCCCGGCCCAGGAATTGAACCGGGGTCTCCTGCATTGCAGGCGGATTCTTTACTAACTGAGCTACTAGGGAAGCCCCATCAGATAAAATAGACCTCAAAGCAAAATTTATTAGCAGAGAAAGGAGCAACATGCGTAACTGATCGTGTGTGTTAGTCCCTCAGTCATGTCTGACTCTTTGCCACCCCATGGACTGTAGCCTGCTAGGCTCCTCTGTCCATGGGATTCTCCAGGTAAGAATACTGGAGTGGGTTGCCATTTCCTCCTTCAGGGGATTTCCTGACTCAGGGATTGACCCTGGGTCTCCCATATTGCAGGCAGACTCTTTACAGTTGAAGCCACGAGAGAAGCCCATGCATAACCGTGAAGGGTCAATTCATCAGGAAGACATAATAATAATCAAATATCTAATAATGGAATTTTAACATCCACTAGGCAAAACTGGACAGAATTGAAGGGAGAAATGGGCAGTCTCACAATCATAGTTGAAAGTTTTCTTATCCCTCAATTAATTGAAAATCTACACAAGAAGTCAGTAAAAACAGACTATCTGAACAACATTGTCAATCACCTTGACCTAACTAATATTTACAGAATACCATACCCTAAATGTATAATGAACATTTTCAAGTGCATGTAGTATATTCACCAATGTAGACCATATGTTAGTCAATAAAACCAAGTATCAACAAATTAAAAGGAACTGAAATCTGTATGGAATTTGTTCTCAGGGCATTTGGGTACCCTGGAGGCCAGTAAGGGAAGAAAGGTAGGTCCAGAGAGCAGGTACGAATGGCAGTGCCAGCAGAAGCGGGTGCGGGAGGGGGCTGAACACCAGGAGGAGGGGGGAGAGGTGCGTGAGGGCACCAGTTACCCACTCCTGGCTCCAGCCTTTCAGTTTCTGGCTGCTGCTTGTTCCCAGAGCTGCCAGGTGCGGGGAGGGCTGCCATCAGATTGGTGCAGATGGTGATGCTCAGAACAGGACCCCAGGGCTTCCTGCTTGGCTCCCTTATCTGTTTCGGGGTGGACAGCTAGCCTTCCCTTCTCTGGCCACAGAAGGAGAGCACTTAGCAAGGAACAGAGGTGACTGCTGCAAGGTGAGCTGCTTGAGCTGGGGGCTAGTGGGATCACTGGGCCAAGAGGGAGGGGATGACCAAAGGCTTTTAAGGGAAGGAAGGGGCAGCCCCAGGGTGTGCTGGGGGCTTAAAGGAAGGGCCTGCTCTGCTCAGTGGGGAGCCTCTGGCTGGAGATGACTGGCTGAGAGCAGTGACTCCAGAAACTTGCTTCCCACAGAGGGACCTTTGTCCAGGGCTAGACTGAAGTGGGACAGGAGAGGCTAGAAATTCAGGCCAGACCACAGCCACACCACCAAGGGCTACCACAAGCCCTGTGCCCAGTGGTGGGACCCCACTGAGAGGTCCTTCAGGCATCTCTGGGGGAAGGGCAGGGCCCAGGACCCCAAGGGCACTACCTGTCACCCCCACACCCAGCTGCAGGGCCACTCTCACAACTGGTCCTCTGAAACCCTCCATCAGGGTGAAGGGAGAAAGAGCCCAGGTCCCCAGCAAGAAGCCCCAGTGTGGTGGGCAGCATTGCCCGGCCAGGTGCCCAGAGAGCGGGACAGTCTGTCCTCGGGGCTCTTGCTCTTTACTCCTCTTCTTACAAAGAGAGTGGCGGCTTGGCTCAATGAAAGCTGAGGGGAAGGTCAGGAAGAACACAGGGGTCAGTAATTCCTGGTGGTGGGGTCTGGCGAAGGGGGTGCTTGTGTGCCAGCATTGTGAGAGAGGCAGTCCTGTACAGTGGTTAAGGTCTTGGGCAATGTAACCAGACCCACCTGGGCTTGAATCCTCATTCCTCCACTTACTAGTTTGGAACCCTGGCAACCTCTCCAAGCCTGTTTCCCTTTCTGTTAAATTAGAAAGATAACAACAGTACCCATTTCATGACATTACTGTTAGGGCTAAATGGCGTTTTAGCACAGAAACTTTATCACAAAGTTTCTGGCAATAAATGTTATCATTACGGATGAAGCCCCATGTGTGGACCTAGATCCCCTACCTGAAGGGGCAGCTCCTCATCTGGACCCTGACTCAAGTTCAGGGGCCGAGCTGGTGGTGGCCAAAGCGCCTCATCACCCAGGTCACCACTGGGGAACTTTTCAGAGGAGGAGTCAGGGGTAGGGCCCTGCTCTCCAGAGCCTTTCCAACTGGGCGACTTCCTGAGTGCTCTGGGGCACGGGTCACAGGGAGGCAGCCGGACTCTGAGGGCCCATTGTTCTTCTCCACTGAGCTGAGACAGACGCTTTCTCCCCACCCCTCCTCCCTTGATGCCCAACTCTGCATGCCCAGATGAAGACTGAAGATAAACAAACGCTGCCCGACTGGCCTTGTCTTGCTCACAAAGAGCTCTCAGTGCCTCACAATGGTCCTTTGATGCGCAGTCTTCCAGGCTTATTATCCCCAGTTCACAGATGAGGAAGTTGAGGCCCAGAGGGAGGGAGTGGCTTATCTGATGTCCCATACCGAGAAGTGGCACTGCCCAGACTCAGCCTCCTAGTCCTGTATCCAGTACTGTGACAGACTCACGGGCACAGCAAATGCACAGCCATGCATCAACACACACACAGACAGCCCCCCATGCAAACGGCGCAACCTGAGTGGGGAGAGGTGAGAGGGGCAGTGATTTGGACCCTCACTCCTCAGGAGCCAAGGGGTGACAGCTGTTTTTGTTTTTTTTTTCCCCCTCCCTAGATGAGCTTCACATCCCAGGTGATTGGAGCAGAAGTCCTCAGCTTGTCTGTCTTACCTTTTCTCCAGGTTGGATTCCTGCTGCCCTAGCAGGGGCCAGGACAGTCCACTCTCGCCCACAGCTATGATCTCTGCTTGGCCTGATGGGCATGGGGGGAGTGGGAAGCAAGAGAGGCTGCTGGTGGATTGCAGGAGAGTGTGACCAAAGAGTTGTTCACATGACTGGGTCCTCCCTTTGGTCTCCTGAGGTCAAGAGAGCTGGGAGGGAGGAGCCCAAGGTCACCAGTCGTCCCAAGTTTTCCTGGGTTCCTGGGATGCTGGGTTTTCGATTTTAGGACCTGCAAAGTCCCACACAAACTGCAATGAGTTGGCCCCCTGAGTCTTTCACAGCTCCCAGTTTGGGAAAATGAGATTCGCTCTGTAATACACAGGGGAAAGGGAGACTATGGAGTGGGGCCAGGGGCGAAGGGGAGAGGCCGGCCCTACTTTCACCTCCTTTTCCAGGCTCTCTCTGAGACCAAAGCCCAGGCTCAATTTCAGCAGGCTATCCTCCCAAGTCCCCAAAGCCCTTTGTTCCCAGTAAAGATAGGAGAAACCTGCTCTGGAGGTACTGCTCCCTTCCACATAGAGAAAAAGAAGGTACCGGGTGACTGATGTTTAGGTCGAAGGGCACAAGAAGCAGACCTACGTTAAGCTGTGTGCACTCCAGCAACATATAATGTGTGGACCTGTTTTTTTTTAATTGGAATATAATTGCTTTACAATGTGTTAGTTTCTGCTGTACAGTGAAGTGAATCAGCTATAAATATACATATATCCCCTCCCTCTTGACTTCACNACCTGTTTTTTTTTAATTGGAATATAATTGCTTTACAATGTGTTAGTTTCTGCTGTACAGTGAAGTGAATCAGCTATAAATATACATATATCCCCTCCCTCTTGACTTCACTGCCCCCCACCCCCTCCCCACCCCACCCTTCTAAGTCATCACAGAGCACTGAGCTGATCTTCCTGTGTTTTATAGCGGGTTCCCACTAGCTTTCTGTTTTACACATGATAGTGTAGCCAGGACGTGGAAACCACCTAAATGTCCAACAGATGAATGTGAACCTGTGTTTTGTCTTTTTTTTTTTTTAGTCCTGAAAATACAGATACTGTGCCTACCTTGTGGGACTGTATTAAGCATCAGATGAGTAGCTGCTTAGTAGATGTTGATGGCTGAGGCTGTGGAGGGGACTTTCTCTCCCAGACTTGGGAGGAGATGCCTGTCTTGGGTCCAGATCTCACCTGGGTTTCTGTTTCTATTTCTTTAGGACTTCAGCTCATCTCAGGTAGGCATGCTCCTTGTGTTGCCTCCAGGGAGTGGAGATATAGGAGATGAATGGGAAAGGGGATCTTGATGAGGGGGTGGGCATTGACGGGGTGGGGGGGAAGGGCAAGGCTGGAATTTGAGATGAGATGAAAATAGTTCAAGAGTTCTCAATGGCTGGAAGTTGAAGGATGGCTCAGGGCAGAACTTACCCATGATGCCCAGGCCTATGAAGTTCCTCAGCACAGGGAGGCAGGTGTGGGGTAGGCAAGACCTTCACCCAGGGCTTAGCCTCAAGCCAGGTCTCCCTGAGCCCTGGGTGGCCCATCTGACACAATGAACAGTAGAAGGAATCAACTTCTCTTTCATCCCGGCCTGTAGTCTCCCTGTGGTCTGGTCCATTTTTCCTCCCAGGCCGTGACAGGGGCAGTCAGCACCATTAAGTTTTTCATCTCTGAGGCTTTTCTGGGTCAGCACTTCGAGGCTGTGGAGTTGGAGGGCAGTGAACCTGAGCCAGGAGACCTCTTCCTATTCAGGCTGATGTCCCCCACTGGACGCTGGTGCGGGGCCCACGTTGGTGTGTATTGCGGCCACGGAGAGATCATCCACTTTGAGGGTGAGAGGACAGGCCTTGGGCTTGAAACAGAGGCTGCCCATCAAGCCTGCTCCACCAGTGGGTGGGCCTCACAGGGACGAAGGCTGCCACCCCCCCACCCCAGAGCATGGTGCACGTTTCTGAAAGAAGTCGCTTGGGCACCCAGGGCATGAGGCTCAGGGCCGTGCGATCCTGGGAGATGCGGGTGTGGGCGGGAGCTTGGGGCTGGAGTCACAGGACCGAACCCAGCTCTGATCACACTTGACCCGTGATCCTTGCAGGCAAGAAACCTCGTGGCCAAAGGCCAAACCTGTTTCTCGGCTCCTGCGAAGGTGTTGTATCCAAACAAGGGCAGCGCCCGATGCTGCGCTCCTGCTTGCTTTGGCGGGTGCTACGTAGACGCAGTGGCATTGACCGCGTAGCGCTGGAGCGCCGAGTGCGCGAAGCCATGGACGCTGACCCGCCTCCCTATCACCCCTCATGCAGCAACTGCGTGCACTTTGCTCTGCAACTGCTGGGTCCAGAGCCCAACCTGGATCCCGTACAAGTAGTCCGGAGTCCCATGACTTCGGTGAGCACGGCCCAGCTACCCACATAGGACCCTAAGTCTAGAGCCGGTTAACAACTGTAGCTAAACTATGAGCTTCTGGACAGTTTAGGCCCTCTCTCCCCACCCAGGCTGCGTTACTCAAAATGGAGATCTACTTTACTCTGGCATAACCAAGCCCCCACAAGCAAACTAGGCCTGCTAATTCATCAAGGTTCTACTCCTCAGAAACTCTTTTGGGCCCACTCCAGAAAGATCCCATCTCACAGATGCCAGGCACATCTATTTACTTCAGCCTCCTTCAGCCAGGTGCTGCGGTGGTCCTGGTCAACCCCCACTCCCATTCTCCAATGGAACCTACCTAAGCAGCTAAGACCTACCCTTCCGGCCCACCATTTCCACCGAATCCCTCCAATTCTGGTTCTGGAGACACCGGTATCCTATAAATCAAGACTCAGTCCTATGGCCCCTTCCACATTCCGAATCCAGGCCTCACCTCCCAAAAAGTGAAATGCAGTGAAATGCAGTCAGTCCTGACGGACTCTTTCTCAGTCCTGTTGGACTCTTTGTGACCCCATGGACTGTAGCCCACCAGGCTCCTCTGTCCATGGGAGTCTCCAGGCAAGAATACTGGAGTAGGTTGCCATTCCCTTCTCCAGGGGATCTTCCTGACCCAAGATTGAAGCCAGGTCTCTGCATTGCAGGCAGATTCTTTACCGTCTGAGCCACCACGGAAGCCCAGGCAAAAGACCAACCCCCCACCCTCACCCCACCCACTCAACTTGATGCCCTAACTCTACTGGAACCCACCCCCTTCCCCCAGCCCAATCACTGCTTTCTCTCTAGATCCAGGCTGCCTTCTCTGGAGGTACCTTGGACCTTGGGGGAGGAGCTGGAGGCCTCACAGGATCCAAAAGCCCTGGCAGTCACACCATACCCGAAACCACCCTCCTCCCTTCCCCTTCTTTCCCAGGTTTCCGTGGATGTGGACTTGACCGTGAACTAGCTGTGACCTCAGGCACTCCTGGTCGGCAAGGGGCTTCAGAAATGATCATTAAACTATTTTCCGAAGCCAAATTCGAGGTTCACCATTCCCTCTATTCAGTCCCCATCTCTCTACATCTTCATCCTTGGCGCTCTTGGACCAAAGTTGCTTAAATTCCATCATCTCTAGAAAGCTGTCGTGCACAGCTTTCGTTTACCCGCCCCTCTCACAAGACCCAGCCTTTCTTTCCACAGCGTGGGTGAGAATCCGCGAAGTATCTGGCATGAGTGAACCTCCAAGAGACCGTCCCACCGAGACGACGTGGTCAGGGGTGAGTAATGACGTTCTGCATCTCCAGATGGCTGTCCCAACATCAGGCCAGCAACTCCACCCCACCCCCGCACCCCACCTCCCCACCACCAGACCTGGAGGTGCCGGATCACTTTTTCAAGGGCTGGAACCTTCCGTACTGGGGGGTGGAGGGATTTCCGAGGCATTGGGGCGGGGCCAGGCTTTGCTGCACCGCCCCTCCTGCTCCCTCCGCGGACAAGCCCTCCGCTCCGCCGGAGCCTGTGCCTTTAAGATCTACCACGCGCTCGGCCCTGATTGATAAATCCGCGCGCTGCTGCCTCCGCCGCCGCAGATTGCGGCCTCTGCGGAGCCCCGGCAGCGCCGCCGACCTCGCCTGCACTGCCTGCGCGCTCCTCCTCGGTCCCTGCCGCATCCCGGCGGCGCCGCGTCCTCCCCAGCGAAGCCCTCTACCCTGCTGCCCTATGTCGGCCGCCCCAGCCTACAACGAAGACAAAGGCGGCTCTGCTGGCCCCGGGGAGCCCGAGTATGGCCACGACCCGGCGAGCGGCGGCATTTTCTCCTCCGACTACAAGCGGTGAGGGAGCCGGGCGAGAGGGAGGCTGGGCCCGGCCCGGCCTGGGAACACGCGCTGAGGTACCATGGACAGCGCCCAGGCCCGTCCGCGGCGGCCCGGGTGGCGCGGACCGGAATTCTGCACGGCCCCCTCCCGCCGTGGACACAGACCCTCGCGACCCCTGTCCCCGCGTCGCCCCCCGCCCCGCGAGGGGCCGGCCTGGGACCCGTGAGGGTGGGGGCGGAGGCTGGTGGGGGATGGGCCGGCCAGCTCTGTTTCTGAGAGACCAATCCTCCCGCCCCAGGTGTTTCTCCTGTTTGTGGGCTTGGATTACAGGGTCTCCGCCTTTTTTCGCTTGTGGCGAATTGACTCCGGAAGAACGCGGGGGAGGGGTCAGATCTGCGAGCTTGAGCCTGGAGGCCTGTCCAGGAAAGCCCGTCCTGGAATAGATAGACTCAGGAGCTCCCAGGCCTGGCCGCTCCTACAAATCCATTTCCCCTCATTCTGGTCCCCCTCTCCTCATCCCCATCTCGCGTCTGGAGCTCCCACTCCTGCTGCCCACGTTGCCCCTATGATTCAATCCTTTCTTAACTTCCTACCTTTCCCTTCCACCTTTGGCTCAGTCCATCGTTCATTTGTTTATTTGTAAATTCTGAAACAAGCATTGTTAAGGGCCTGCTGTTTCGAGTCTCGTCCTAGTCAGCGTGGATGCCGCCGTGAACAGTCTTAAGTCCTCAAGCCCCTCTAGAGGTGGGCACAGGGGAGAGGCTGTGAGTGACAGTGCAGTGTGGTGGGGCTCTCAGAGAGGTGGGAGGAGCTGGTCCCTGGACCGGGAGAGCCAAGGATGTTTCAGGCAGAACAAAGAGGTTTAGGCAAGGTGCGGAGGTGAAGGAGAGCCAGATCACAGGTTTTGAGGTGCTAATACGGTGTGGCCAGAATCTGTCCAAGCCACTGGAATGGCCAGAACTGAAGGTAGAGAGATGCCAAGGTGGAGGGAGGGGGGCACAGGACGACTGAAGCTTTCTAAGCCGGCAATAGCAGATTTGCATTTTAGAAGGGTCCCAGGCAGAATTGTGAAGAAGAGATGGGAGGTGTGCTGGATTGAGCAGAAGACAGGTGAAGGGGTGTTAAAGTGGGAGGGGTGGGTATGTTGGTGGCCTAGACTATGGGTGAAGCCCAGGACTTGGGGGGCTCTTGAGATGGTAGAAGCCAAAGACTTGATGATTACCTGGGGGGAAGGTAATCAGGGCTGGGAGAAGATGAGGATAATCTCAGGTTACTAGTTCTTGTATTAGATATGCGGTGGTGCCAGACAGGGTAATTGGAAATAAAGATATTACAAGCAAATTTGTGGAGATTAATGTTGAGCCTGGCTTTTGAGATGCTGAGATTGTAAACTCTGAGGTACAGTCTAGTAGGTAGCTGGATATTAGAATTTGGATTCCAAGAGATTATTAGTACACACACACACACACACACACACACACACACACATACACATGTGCGTGTCCATCCATTAAAGCCACAGAAGGAAGTGAAGATAGCCAGATAACCTAGGGAGCATTTATAAAATGAATTCAGATAAAGCACAGGTAAGAACCCTAAAGACATGGAATAAGAGTGACCAGAGAGCAGGGGGAAAGTGTTTCAAAATAACTGAGAAAAAGTAAACCAAAGGCAGGAGGAAAAATAAAATGTTGTTTCAAGAAGGAAGCCATCAGCAGTGTCAGTGCCCTCTGAGGTCAATTCAAACAAGGAAAGAAATCATGCCCCCTGGTTTGACAAAGAGCAGGTCTACCTCTTCCTGCTCCACTCCCCACCTCCACCCCTGAGAGACTAGTTCTGGCAAAGTCAAAAGAGGAGGGGCTAGGTTAATTTTCTCCATCTTTCTTTGAAGAACAATTTAAACATACAGAAAAGTTGAGTGGATAATACAATGAATATATGTATACCCTCCACCTAGATCCAATTCAGTCATTGTTGCCATTCTGTGGTATTTGCTTTATCTAACCATCTATCTATAAATATTTTTGGCTGACCCATTTAAGTTGTAGACATCATGGCCATGGCCACTGAACCCTAAATTCTAATCAGCATCTGAAGCCAGATTAAAAGTGAATAGGAGAGTGAAGAGGAGGTAAATGAATAAAACACGGTGACTGGGAATTTCACTTTGGAGAAGTATGACTGTAGGGACTTCCCTGGTAGTCCAGTGACTAAGAATCTGCCTTGCAATGCAGGGGATGCGGGTTCAATCCCTGCTCTGGGAACTAAGATTTCACTTACTGCAAGGTAACTAAGCCTATGAATCACAACTGGAGAGCCTGTGCACTGCAACTAAGATCAGCAAAATGAATGAACAAAAATTTTTTTTAATGAAGGGGAAAGGAAAAGAGTTGCCAGAGGAGAACATTGGTCCAAGAATGTCTGTTTACATTTTTATTGTTATTTTTGTTTGTCTGTTATTAGTCTGGGAGAGCCCAGAGCAAGTTTAACTGCCTTTGGGAAGAAGCCAGTAGTGTGGGAGAGGCTGGAAGGAATTGAAGGAGACATAGATCCCTGACTGATGGGAGGGGAGGCTTCCAGAGCTGGGTAGGAGAACTGGCCTGGCCTCAAGGAGGACCAGCTCTGCCCAGAGGGAAGAGGAGAGGAAAGAGTAGATGATGTTTGGGAGCTGTGGGGATTTTGATCTAAAGCCTTTATTTTCTGTGAGAGGCAAATAGTAAAGTTGCAAGAGCAAGGATGGTGGGAATCTGAGGAGCATCCAAATACAACAATTAAAGTCAACCACTCCTGGCAGGGTAGGGGTCTCAGGGACAAGAGGGACAAGGATGTAAGTGAAGAGCAGTTGGAGGCATGCACTTGAGGGGCCTCAGCTAGGCATGGAGGAAGTAGAGGTAAGAGAATGCCCACAGGAAGGGAAAAAAATCAAGGACCTGGCCATGGAAAGACAGGCGAGGATCAAGACGGTGGGGGTCAGAGTGGAAAGGGTGTGAACACGATTGTTGAGGAGGAGGAGTTTTGAGGGGGCAGAGGTTCATTTGTGGCCTGAGCGGGAAGTGAGAAATGCCTCACCTGTGTCTGGATCCGCTCCCCTGCCTGCTGGTCCCCTGCCTGCAGACCATGGCTTGGCTCAGTCCCCAGTCCCTGCCCTCCTCCACCACGTGAGTTCTTGTCTCTGAGCAGCGAAGAAGAAACCAGAGCCTCCCTCCCGCCAGTGTCCAGTTTCTGAGTTTTGGGGCGGGCCCTCTGGTGACAGGAACAGGCACCCCTAGCTCCCCGGTCAGCTCAGTCTCATTTCGAAGCAGGATCTGGTGCCCTGATGCAGCGATTCCTGCAGCTCCCGGGGGCAGCAGTGAGGCCAGGGGGCAGAGAGGCCGATCAGGAGGCTGCCAGCCCTGTGCTGGCCCCCGAAGGCGGGCACCCACCCTGGTACCAGGCCGTGCAGCCGGAGGAGCTTCGGTGGCTGCAAGCCCCAGAAGAAGACACGACCCCAGAAGAGTCCCTGGAAGGACCTTGCTCAGAGCCTGGCCAAGGCCAGAGCCAGAGCCAGCCACTACGGTACAGAGGAGCTCTCAGGGACCCTCCCCCAGACAGACAGGAAGGCCAGGGATGGGAAGCTGCCTCTTCCAGTAGGAACCATTTAAGTTCCACCTCTTTAGCAGGAGGACTGGACCAGCGTTTAGTGTCCAAGAGGGAGGGCGCATGGGGGATGTTATGGGGGACTGAGAGTTTAAGGGGGAAGATGAGCCTAATTCCTAACTCCCTGGTAGCTCTGAGGGGAGGAGGATAGTAAAATATTTGAGGATGGAGTAAAACACCTGACCTTTTCCTCCCCCCAGGCCCCAGCTAGGTGAGGGTTCCGGATGAGGTTTGGAGACAGGATAAGAACAAGATAAAGAGTTTGACCACTCTCTCCCATCTAGTGGGTTGGAACTTGGGTGGTGAGGGGAGGGAGGAAGGTGTATATCACATGAAGTGAGTATATCTGGCCTCAAATGCCAGGTTTTACCTTCCTCCCACCCCGCCTGCTGGCTCCAGTCACCCACAGAGTCCCTCAGGTCAGGCCAGGGCTCGGGTCACAGTGAGAGCCTTGTAAAGGGATCTGACTCCAGGAGATGAATGTTTCATGGCCTTGGAGCGTTGCTGTGTATCT